GAGAGGCCCGTGTACTGAAAAAAAAAAAAAAAAAAAATGTTCATCATCCTAAATCAGCCATAGCTATAAGAGTTGGCAGCTTTTGGAGGCTTCAGAGAAATCAGAGAGGGTTTACTGAGCATTGTATAGTAAGTCAGATCGATACTTTATAGGAATGTTTATTTGTATAGAAAGAATGCATTTCTTTTTTCAAATTTTAGAAAAAGGCTATAGGAGGTAGTAGAAGGAGCATAGAAAAGCAAGCCCTGGGTTTTAGCCCTGACTCTACCAGTAATCAAAGTGTAACCTTGAACATGTCACTTAAGCTCTTTGGGTTAAAGCATCCTCATCTATAAAATGAAGATTTGAAAATAGATAATTTCAGGGGTCTCGTCTGGCTTTCACAGGTCAGCAGTTCAGAGCAAAGATACTGTAGTGAGACAGACCTGGGTTGAAATCCAATTTTTGTCACTTACTAGCAGTGTAACATGAGGCAGTTGCCTATTTTTCCTCATCTGTAAAATGGGAATGATATAATAGTATCTACATTATAGGACTATATAAAGGAATATATGATATAATGCATACAGAGTATGTATCACAGAGCTTGACCCACAGCATATGCCAGATAAACAGGTTGTTATTATTTGATAAGTTAAGAAGGAGAAGTTGGAGATGCCTGGCAGAGAAGGGAATAAGATTGGTTACCATGAACAGAAACAACAGAGTTTTCTCTGAGCTCTTAGTGAGTTTTGAAATCAAATTTCACAGTGGTTCTAGGTGTGGAGCAGAAACGTGTCCAACACATTTTTGCTTTCGGGGAACTTGGGCATCTTTAACAAGTTAGTATATGATTTGTTTTTATTATGGTTTAGCACACAATGAGGCTGGAATCTGTCATAGTGAGAGTATGCATTATGTAGTTGTCATTTGTAGGAAAGATTTTCCAACATGTATCACAGTTTTACATATCCTATGGAGATTCCTGTGAATGATTAAAACATCACTGTTAATTACTTTATAAATTTCTTAATACAATTTGAAGCTCATGAGTTTCCAAAGGACTGGATCTAGTGGGGCAGCGATAGGGAACTCTGGAGTTCTGAAGGGACATGGAGAAGAATTAAGCATAAAAAGTGTTCTTGTGTCTGGTTCCACTCTTTTGGTCATGGAAGTTGGTAGTGTCATTTCTGAGTTAGCATTTTTGCTCTTTTAGTAACTGATAATCACTTCTTGGATTCTTTATATGTGACGCACAGTATATATTTTGATTCCTTTGGATGCAGGATAGCTTAAGAGTCAGGACTATGGGCTCTAGTTTGGAAGAGATCTGATTTGAATTTTAGCTCTACTGCTTACAAATTATACAATCTTTAGTACCTGTTTTTGTTAGGATTAAATGAGAAGAAAATGAAAAGTGAGGACTCAGAGTACTCCATAAATAGTGGCTATTATTTTTATCTTCTTCAATGCACTACTGCTTAACTTTAAAGAGGGAGTATTTGCCTTAAAATAAGCATAAGCAAGACTGTATTTTACAGTAACTAGTACAGCCTGTGTATCCAAAGTTCATGTTCAAGTACCAAATCTAAGACACATTTCATGTTCTTATTCGTTATGGATAAGATACAGCCTAGCCTCCTTATATAGTTTCAGTGAGTGATCTGTGTCTATTTAGCCCAAAGATTTATGTTGATTTATAAAATTTAGATATATTTTTATTGCAGGGTCTGGCAGTCAAGGAGCTGAAAAGTTCAGTTTTATTGTATCATTTTTCATTTACTTTTATCTTTTTACTGAGTTTAATAATCTTTCAATGGTTGTAAAGCCTTGAGTTTCTCTGCATCATGGAATCCCCATGAATTATTACCATGTCAGATTATAATAAACATTAAGCTTTTAAGGCAGGCAAATGGTATGGATGCTATTTGTCTTATCCTTTAATAGCTTCTTAGTATGCAGCATGGGTCCCATTTTCACAGAGTTTTGAAAATTCTGCCCCGAGCATCCAAAGAGAGAAAATGTGACAAAACAGTAGTTGGCTTCGAGTTCCGTGATTATTGTGATGATGGTAAAACCCCAGGCAAGCTACGGAAATGTGGTAAGATGTGCAATCCGATGACTCTCCATTCAGAGCTTCTCTGGCTTTCCTAATGCTTATTTTTGGGAAACAGCCGTCATAAATGATTGACTTGTGAAGGAAAGTTGATGTGTATGATCAGCTATGGGAGCTGTTTTTTAAAAACATGCAACAGCCGCCTGCTGGACAATGTTGCTGTACATAAGCAACATAACAGCCAAGGGCCTCCTCCTTTTAAGTGGGGAGAATTGAAATGAGAGATTCTTGGGGCAAAGAAAAATAGAATGTTTATGTGTTTGTTTTTCCCCTAATATTTTTCATTTCTTTGTGCATTTAGAAGATTAAATCCAAATCAATGTCATATTAATGTATGCTTACATGTATGAGTACATAAAGTTAATTTGGTCTTCTGTCTATGATGTCTGTTTTAAATAAGCTAACTCTCTCTCTAGTCTTCCTACTTGTACAGCTGGGGCCAGGAGTTGTGTTCAAGATTTAATCTAGTGATTTAGATCTGTCAGTTGTAGTCCAAATATTAAATCTGTAGATACAGATATAGAAATATAAAGATTATGGTATAGAAAAAGATATAAACATACAGATACAGATATGATTTTAACATATTGGTGTCTTGTCCATTTGGTCCCAACACTCCAGTAACCACAAACCGTGGGTAAGGAAAAAGGATAGGTGGACAATATGTATGTGATGGTATGATGCTTTTA